CGTAAGTTTAATCCAGGATAGTATAAGAGGTGCTAGATCACTGTCGTTTCTTATGATTGAGTAATATTCCATTGTATACATATACCAAATTTTAATAATCCCCTCATGAATTGACGGGCACTTGGGTTGTTTCCACATCCTTGCAATAGTGAGTAACCTCAAACTCTTGGGCTCAAGTGATCCTTCTGCCTCAGCCTTCCTGAGTACCTGCGACTATAGGTACACACTACCATGCCTGGCTAATTTTTAAAAAAAAAAATTTTGTAGAGAGCTGTGTTGCCTAGGCTGGTCTTGAACTCCTAGCCTCAAGCAGTCCTCCTGCCTTAGCCTCCCAGAGTGCTGAGATTACAGGCATGAGTCACTGTGCCCAGCGTTGCTCTTCTTTTTTCAGTGTCCTTGGCTATCTTGTTTGTTTTATTTCCCCGTGAACTTTAGAATCACCTTGTCAAGTTCTGAGGAGGGCTGTATATGGGGGAAAATTGTGTTAAATATTTGAATTAACTTAGGGAAGACTGACATCTCTATGAAATTAAATCTTCCTGTCCAAGAACATCATATTCCTTTCCATTTGTATCTTTTTTTGTGCTCTTTCAGAGTGACTTACAGTTTTCTTCATACAGGTCTTGCATATTTCTTGCTCAGTTTATTTCTTAAATGTGCTTTTTTGGTTGCTGTTGTAAATGGGGTCTGAGGTTTCTAAGGATGTTTATGAAAACTTGCTAAGTCCAAGTGTGGGCATTCTAACCTCAAGCCACCATTTTCTCTTCTGGGCTATCTTGGTAACTTCCTAATTAGCTTTGCTGCTTATACTCTTGCCCTTGTCCAGTCTGTGTTCCACATGGCAGCCAAGTGATTTTACAGTATAAAGTAGATCACTTCAGGCCTTTGCTTTTAATACCTTTCCATATACTCAATACCCTTGATGGGATTGCAGGGCTCCACATGACCTGGCCCTGCCCACCAGGCACACTCTGCCAGTAACATTGGCTTTCTGACAGCCCCCAAATGGGCCAACCCGCTTCTTGCCACAAGTCCTTTGCACCTACTCTTCTTAAGTCTGAATGCTCTTTCCTCAGTGCTCTGCATGGCTGGCTTCTTTGTCACCTGCAGGTTTCAGTTAAGTGTCAGCATTGCTGAGAGGCTTTCCTTGAGCATCCTTTCTAGAGGAGTGCCCCTCCGCCTTGACATTCTCTAGCTCATGTCTCATTTACTTCATTGCATTTATCAGAAGCTTTGATTCTTTATCGTCTATTTACTTCTTTGCTGGCTCTCTTTTGCTAGAATGTAAGCTCCATAAGAGTGGCCACTGTGTTTTTCTTATTCTTGGCACATAGTGACTAGTACATAGGAGATACTCAAAAATATTTGGGAAATTTATGTATAAGTTATTCCCTGGCTGACCAAATTCCAGCTGGTCCTTTGAGAAAGTGTTTTTTTCTTTTCTAGTCCTCAGGTATGTTAATCTCTACATTTTCTACTGAGTTAACTCATGTTGGTGATGCCTGTCTGGCCCGGCTATTACCAGCTTAAGCATTGATGCCCCTTGGGTGTTTATTTCATTATTCCTGGGGGCTCTGGTGACATGTCCCAATGGTCATGTCATCTGTCTTTTTTCCCTCTATATGAGATAGCTCTTGACTGAGTACATATATCTTTCCTGTTCCTTCAGTTCTCTAGCAAAGGAGCTCTTCTAAATGCTTGAAAGTCCAACAAAAGTATTGGAGTCCATAATATATAGCAAAATTGATCATGGAAGAGAGGTTTCAGTAGGTGGGGAAGAAGTCTGCCTTAGCTTCATCCACTTTCTCAGCTCAGACAGCTCCCTGCCTCTAGGCAGAACCAGTCACTGCCCTCTCTCTGCTCCCACAGCGCACGTATCACCTGGGTCCTCCTCTATTTGTATGTTTGCAAGGTCATTGAGGAGCTTAGTCATCTGCAGTTGTTCAGTACATGCTTGTTGATTGAATGACGAGTGCTTTTACACCATGCTTTTGCAAATCTTGGGGGCGCTTATGTCCTTGTGGTAAGGCTGCTCTCGTCCTGCATGGTTCTGGCTGTGGCTGTCAGGCCCCTGCCACAGTGAAGTCTTGGTTTTATTTTTTTTGCCTTTTTTATACTTGCATTCAGATTATATTCCTTTTTCCTCTCTCTCTCTCTCTCTCTCTCTCTTTCTCTCTTTCTCTCTTTTCCTCAGATGGGGTCTTGCTCTGTAGCCCAGGATGGAGTGTGGTGGTGTGGTCATAGCTCACTGCAGCCTTGAACTCCTGGGCTCAAGTGATCCTCCCGCCTCAGCCTACTGAGTAGCTGGAATTATAGGTGCAAACCACTGTGCCTGGCTTAGATTATATTCTTTTTTTTTTTTTTTTTT